CTGTGGGGGTGGGGGGGGGGGGATTTGTTTTAAATATATTTTGGTGTTTTTCAGCTTGTCATGGTATGCATACAGTCACTTCTAAAACGTCTTCATATGTTCATGTGCTATATACCAGTTTGGTAAGATTAGAATACACCACCCGTTGAATACCCCAACATATTTAGATTTTTTTTTTAAATCTGTGGCCGGCACATTTTACAATGTAAAGCCACAATTTTTGGACAATGTACGAGAATTCTATGCATTTATATATGTTAAAACCAAAATATGTGGGGTCCCTGAAATTGGAGAAAATATATTTGTGAAAATTGCTGCAATGGTATTGGGTATTAAAATGCATTAACAAGCCAAGGTTGCATTTTTAACATTTCGCACACAAAACAGGAGGAACCCACCGGTGCCGAGAAGTTTGTTTGCAGACTTTTCTGTTGAGGAATTCTGTAGTTTTGATAGAGCAGCACACCATACTGTAAATAGGAGAAATGCAATTATAAAAAAGTGGGGGGGGAAAAAGGAAACCTGCTATAACATTTTAGCTTAATGTTATTCATGTGAAGATGGCTGATCACACCAATAAGGACAATCAGGCCAGTGTGTGTGTTCTACACTCAGACCCAACATTAAAGGCCCGTTTACAATGGGATGTTACGGTAATGAGCATGTTACTACCGCTTTGCCGTAATGTGTTGCAAGACACGTTAAACACATTAAGGCAATGCGGTGCCATTAATTTAAAAGCTAACATTTGCTAACAAACATGCATTGCAGGGCAATGCAACACGCAGCAATGCACTAACTTGTGGTGCACTGCCAAAAACTGGTGAAGCGCAAGGCACATTAGTATCTTGCACTGCATCATGCATCCGTCTCAAAATGCATTGGGGTTCCATTCAAAATGAATGGCACTGCATTGCACTAACACTTAACATGCCTTGCCATACAATCTAAAGCCTCAGCAGGAGAGTGAGAGAACAGGGAGTCAACAGGAAAGATTGTGCTACAAAATGTGCTTATATTATTGTAGAGGGAATAATAATTATTGTACAGGGAAACTTCTCAGTGTATTAGAAGAATTGGTATGTACCAGTATTGTAATCAATATGAAAACTTTTTTTTATTAGAGATGTTTATTGCCCTTTCCATTTCAAAATATAAAGAGAGACCCTTTGATTTGACAATATGATCTTCGTTACAGAGGGGCTTCTGCTAATCATCCTTGTTGCTTGAACCTTCCCCTCAGGAATAATCTGGTAACTGTATACAGGCTTTCAGAACAGTTTTTAAATCCTAAATTCTGTAGTTGTATTTCAAAGTTTAGGCAGATATATAAAAGAGTTAAGCTTGAATTCAGTTATATGTATTACAAACATTTGAATAAAAAAAAAAAAAAAAAAAAGAAGAGAAACAAAAA